GGTATTTATTTTATTATTTATTATATATATATATATATATATATATATATGGTTGTATTAATATATAATTAGATACACGAATATTTCTGCAAAGATTGTGTGACATGATAAAAGTAAAAAGAATGCTAACACATCTCAAGACCCCTTAAAAATGTAAATAATGTCTTCTGGAAATCCAATGAATTATTATGAGACATAAAGTTTCTAAATTCTTTTTAAAATTTATTTATTTATTTATATATTTATACAGTCCTGTTATATGTGTTATGGCAAAATACACAATTTTTGTTTATTAAGAAAAAGTGTTCTGTTTCGTCTTCAATATAGCGAAACGAAATATTCTGTAATTTCTATGTGTGCGGCAATATTTATGCAAAGCATTTGTAAATATGTATGCTTTCGTAAAAATAAATCTCTATAGTCTTTACACACATATACATACATAGACACACATACATATACAAGTGCATGTGATTAAAAAAATATGAATTTTTACAATTATATTGTAACATCGAGATTTGTAGCTTTACATAAGCGATTGATTCCAACACGTACTTTGTATCATGCATAAGCCATTTAATTTTTACATGTATTAAATGCTGAAAGAGAAGATTATCTTGATATTCTTTTATTTACACAGTGTGCTTTAGCTGTGATAAAAATAGAATGTAGGGATTTAGTTCTCAGAAAATTTATTGACGAAGTTTTTATCGCTACGTAACAAAAAAAAACAACAGAATATAATTTGAAAAGTTTAAATAAAAATCCAATTTGAAATGGATTCAATCATATATTATCTGTTGAAACGTTATATGTCCATTGTTCGGAGAGAGTAAGAATATCATTCAGAAACTTGTTAACTATTATATTATTCATATTGCATTATATTACATTATTTAACATCAGATCTAATGGGAAAATACTCAAAATATGACACGCTCTGCACAAGATAGAAATATTAGCAAATATATCTAAATCGATATATTATTTAAAGAATACTCTGCAAAGGCTTCTATAGTGAAGCTAGCGTAACAAGTGTTTATAATATTTATACTTTTAATTATTTGACAAATGTATTTTTATTTAAATAAAAATTGTACGATACGCGTTGGTTTTATATGTAATATTTGGAATACTGAGAAAATGCAAATAATCTCATTTATTTTTTATTTGCGAAAGTAATATCACGTTGCATTAAATATTTATTTAAATAACGAGTTTAAAAAAATATATATTCAAATTTTAATGTTGAGGCACATGCGCGCAGAATAAAAATATGCGCAAACTGGTCAAAAAGAAATGGAAACAAATGCTAGAACGCAGCTGAATATGAAATTGATTGTTAACATTTTAATTTTTGTAATATTAATTTAATTTAGTTTTTCGTCAAATTTATAAATTTAAGTATATAATATTAATTTCAAGCACAATTATCAACCATCACCAATCTCATATGTCACCAACATCTGTTCAAATATCAACCAATGTCGCCAATGTCCAAATCTGCTCATATTGATGCCAGCCAATCGTGGAGTAGCTGGTTACAAGATCCAATTGTCGCTTCTCTCTACTAGAGGTTTTCCACAAAGAATCATTTCATCTTTGTTGTCAAATATTAAAAAGAACAGATGATGAGCGTTATGAGTGTTAAGTGGACGCAGCCAAAAAGAAGCACGTGCGCTCATATACGTATTTTTTGTTGTATGCAGTTTCCTTTCTAACTAATTTTTAGGCCCAAGATTTTAATCTAACAGCCCTTGGTTAAGATATAATCCAGACTCTGGGCCTCTATTCTTGAAACATATCTTCACGAAAATCCTATAGTTTATGTGACATATATTATAGGATTTTCGTATGCGATATGTTTCAAGAATAAGACCCAAGAGTCGTTTCCGGACCGTTGTGTGGAGTGGACGTGTCTCATCCTTAGCTAATTTTTGTATTGCGTTATCACACATTTTTGTCTTTGTTTCCTGATTTCGATTTTGTATTCAGATTGTATTCCATCAGACGCATTATTACCATATTATTTATGGTTTAATGTAAGAAACAAGTGCCAATAAAAACGAAGTATGATTCGTTATTTAAGGAATTATTTTACATTTCTACGTAACAGATCGAACAAATATTTCTGTACATTTTACGAGTTTCAAGATCACGAAATTATTATTTTAACGAAAAAGAGTTATTTGTTGTGAATAAGTTACGTTGCACGTTATTCCTCGCCTATGACGTCATAAAACAATGGCTGCGTTCAGCAGGAAAGCTGCTTTGTAACTGTGTAAAATTCTTTAACATGATTGGTTTATACATTTAGATCCACGAGGAACTAATGGCAATCATATCAACCAATCATATCAAAGATTTTTATATAGTTGCAAAGCTGCTTTTTTTGCTGAACGCAGCCAATATGGCTGGCGCGAGATGACAGCTTTAAGTTAGATTCTAAGTGAAATAAAGTTGTGTAGCTTTTTGATATATCGTATTTAAGATGATTTGCCAAAAAATACACAAATTCATTAATCTGATTAATGTAGCGATTTAAAATGAAGTTTTTTCCTAATTCTAAAAGGATTAACATATTTATGATTTATTTAAACTCGGTTGTACTAACATTATTTTGGCTTTAAACGAAACTTAAATATGTATCTGTTTTTATCTATTTAGAAAGGAATATAAAGACAGGTACATATTTAAGTCTCGCAATCAGGATGCTACGAATATTTCGCGAAACATCTTTTGATTGGTCAATAAAATTCTTTATTCTTTATTCTTTATTCTGATTGGTCGATCAAATGCTTCGAGGTTTTGTAGCATCAAGTAGATCACATTCTTAATGTCACATTCATATAGATTCATATAGATGATTGATTACTTTCAGCCGTTTCCTGAGAGAGATAAACACAGAAAAATATCTTAATTTTTTTGGCTAAACAACGAGTTGATACCAAAACTTTAGTAACAAGAAAAAAAGAGTTGTGATTAATATTAAGCGATTGCTGTATAATATCGCTTTTTACAATCGTAAGATGTCTTAGATCATATAAAATTCATCTATTTCTTACGATGATTAACGAGATATCTGCGTTTCTTTCTTCAGCTTACACAAGAAGTAAGTACGATTGTACGAGGAGTAGAGTTGACGATGTTATATCCAGTTTATATGTAAAATCAATATTTATAAGAGGATTACGCTTACAGATCATTCTAATATTTGGATTCAAATTGATTCTGAAGAAGAAAAAGGAAAATGAAAATTTCTGAAAAGATAATATTTCGAAAAAACAGAATCTAATTCGAAAAGAAAAAAATTTTGTCAATTAAAATTGAGAAAAGAGAAATTGAAGAAGTGTCTGTGACTGAAGTGAGTTTGAATTTAATCTTTATTACAAATTCAATTTTATTGAAAAAAATCTCATTTGCGTTGGATTCATCAGGAATATTTACAATTATTAAAATTTTGTCTTAGTTTTAATATCATTCCCGCGACATGATAACATTGAGATAAAATCATGGATAATGCAAAAAAGAAAAAATATTTATAGAAATTTTGTCCAATATAAGGGAAAATATATTGGTTTTTTTTGTACTACTATTATATACTATTATATACTATTATATACTATTATAATTTATATTTTTATATGATATCGATCATAAGCCTTTACGTGCTTATGTGCGATGACGGAAAAAGTTTATGATGGCCAATCACACTTCGCTATCAAAAGGGAATTAATTACATCTGACGAACAGGTTTGCCATCTCTCGATTCTCTCCCTCTCAAATCATTTTGATTTATCAGTACAGTTTAGTTATTTTTGCGCAATCCATGACGCAAAAATCATACAATTGACTCTACGTACGTTGATACCTCTGACAGAGGGAGCTCTTCTCTTATCATTACAGATTCGTCCCTCTGCCTGGTTGGTGGTATCACTTGCTCATCACATCGTCCCTCTGCGGAGAGAGAGAGAGAGAGAGAGAGAGAGAGCTGCCTATCTGGACCTCGGTTATCGAATGATTCGAGCGTGACGTGCAGCGTATATAATACTTGCTGACCGCAAGAGCGAACCTCTGACGTGAGGCGTATCGTAATGGCTGCGACTTGATTGCAGGCGGAAAGGCATGCGTGTTTGTCACGTTACGTGAGGCAACGCGGAGAGGAGACGCAGGAATTTGTGCAAGAGGGAGAAAGAGGATAGGAGAGCGGGAGAAGGCGGGGATCGGTCGGTCGGTGCGAGCTGGGTGGAACGTGAGTGTGAAACGCGATTAACGTCCACAAAGTTTTCGTTGTCGTCCAAGTTTCAGCTGCTCGCTCGTTCTCGACGATTCTCGAGAACGACGGATAGTCACACACTGTGAGCTTCCGCGCTTGATACGTACCGCGTACTGCGTTCGTACGCGTGTGCGCGAGTGGGCGAGGCGTGTTTCTCTCGCTTTTGATCCTCGCGTGCTCTCGAGGAGTCATCCTCGCCGTCGTCGTCATCCTCGTCGTTGCGAGCGCTCGCGTGTGCAAGCGTGCGCGCGCGCACGTGTGTGTGGGTGGCTGTGTGTACCTCCGCGCGCGCGCGCGTGTGTGTGTGTGGTGTGTGTGTGTCAAGTCGTGTGCGCGCCGCGCGTGGTGTGCGATACGCTTCGTAGGTGCGTGCGTGAGATTGTAATCGAGGAGGAGAAGGAGGAGCAACAACAGCAGCAGCCGCGGTGGTGCGTCGATCGTGCGATCGTCAGCGATGAGCGACGACAGGAGCGAGGATGATCCGATAATGGACCTTTGGTACAGCAACTGGGAACAGCAGTGCGTCGAGGCGCTCGAGACCGAGCCCGATTACGAGAATCAGCTGCACAATGAGAAGGAGATCTACTCGCAGCAGATGTGGACGAAATTCCAGACCACCGCGTCGGCCATCGCCCAGTTATACAAAGGTGAATCCCGCGTTCCGAGATCCCGCGACACCGTCGGGATTCCTACCCACTTACCGTCTTTCCCTTCCTTCTCTCGCTCTCGTCCTCTCTATCTCTCTTTTTCCAACGCGCTACGGCGAACATCTCCCAAGGTCGCACGACTTGCGTTCTCCGTAACGCTCTCGTCCATCCGTCCGTCCGTCTGTCTGTCTCGTGTAACGCGAGAGATCCATTTTGTCGTTACGAGGAACGATCTCGCTTGTCCGGGCTCGTTCCCGTAATGCCGACCCCCGTCCTGCGAATATCGATCGGCTCCGTTTAACCTCTTCTTGTCTTTTTTTTTTTTTCTATTCTCTTACAGACCGCACGCTGGGCGTTTCGCTGTGGGTGCCCTTTCAGACGGCCGCTGGTACCGTCACATCATTGTACAAAGGTGCGTGTGCTTCAGTCTTATGGTGTCCCATTGTCAACAATGACCGCTAGATAAACGGCACGGCTATCCTGTCTCTCGTTGCCTCTTCCCTCCGCCCCCGCCTCCATCTCTCCTCCCCCCCGCCGCCATCTCCTTTCCTCGTGCCGCGGCGCTTCGGAGCGTTCTCTCCACATTCAATCTTTGTTCCTACTGTCTTCACCTCCGTGCTCTTGTTTGTCCTCTATTGTACTTCAAACGCGCGTGCAATCATCATTGCGGATGAAAATGGCATTTTCTCTCTCTCTCTCTCTCTCTCTCTCTCTTTCTCATACCCCCTCCCCATAATGGCTGACCGCTCAGGGTCAGCTGTTTAATTCGGTTCCGAATGTCGCGATTGACGTGGGCACGGAGAAATTTACACTTTGGATTGACAATGCCTACCTCCGCGTGTTCTCTTCCATGTTGAATCGCATTTACTTTGTCACGTCGAATAGATAAAAATAATTTTTGCATAAATTATTCCGAGCAAACCTTTGGAGGAACTCGGTAAGTTTCTTTTTAATGATCTGACTGATGAGTTAACGAGCAGTTTCGTGCAATGTAAGATTTTTGGGAACTTCGCTATAATTGACTGTTAAAAATTATGAAGTTACTGCATGGATTGTTTATAGTTTATTTTTTTGATCACATTTTTTATAGGTTAGGTCAATTCGATTGATATTTTTTTCACAAGTTATACACTTGATTCTGAATAATTCTTAATTATTTCGATATTTCGTAATATGTAGGCTTACATTTAATCCAGTAAATTGCTCCTAGTCCAAAAATATAACTTTTTTTAAAATATAGAATCTTAATCATAGATAACATATGTCTATTTTTACCAAGATTAACTTCAAATTTGATTGAATTTAATCTTTATATGTTTTTCTTATAATTAGATAAAGAATAAATTATACTGAGATCAACCTAGACAGCACAAAGTCCAAAATTGGGATATAAGACATCTTAAAAACATCTAAAGGATATTTTATTCTCTTTTAATTTTGGATTTTGTATTGGGAAATTAATCTATTGGTAGAAATAGATACGAGTCTTGTACATCCCTGTAAAGTTGAAAGAGAACATTGTAATTAATATTGAGATATAACGATTTGCAGAACTGTATTTTACTTTTGAAAAAGGATCATGCGTTAAGATGTTTATGATAAGAATAATAACTCCTTGAAAGGATCATTAATAATAGATAACATAGATAACTTGATAAGAGTAATCCATTATTTATCTAAGGGATCTATTTATGAAAGGGATGAAAGGGAGCACGTTTTTGTATCATTTTGACATGTTGAACGTATAGCCGTAATGAAATCTTAATAAACGAGAGAGAGAGACTAGGCCAATTTTAAAACTAGAGCACTGTTGTGGTTAGTGTTAAAATATTGATGATTAATGATCGTTTTGATTCGGTCTTAAAAACATCATTATTTATGCTATCAATGACGATAGAGATAACAGTCGCAAAAATGTTAGCTTAGGGATAACACAAAGGCACATTCTTTCTTTGTCAATACGATGGCTTTTATCGTCTTTCGCTTTTAGCGATCGTTATCTCTGTCATTATCAATTTTTCCTTTCTTTAACAAGATTCTGCATGAAAAAAGTTTGTTATTTTTTTTCTACACATTTTTATAACATATCTTGATTATATTAATATTTTGTGTCGCTATTATAAGTTTTAAAGCGATGAATTGATGAAGAGAATGCATTCGATTTTAAATGATTTTAAATGCAGCGATATTGTTATAGAAATGAAATAATTATTTTAGAAATTACTGATTTTAAATTAATATAAATTAATGTAATAAAATCCATATTATGAATTTTATTAAATTTAATTATTGATATGTTTCTTTATCATATATGAGAATGTTGTTTGTTTATGAAATTAATCAAGAATTATTTAAATAGATTCAGTGGACTGCATGAGGCGATGCAGCGATTTGGGAGTGGAAATGGGCAAGCAAAAACGTTGTAAAGAAATAATGAATTGGGCTAGGAAAAAAAGACGTATGATTCGTAGGGAAGATCTTCTTGCATATCTTGCTGGAAAACCACCTCCACCTCGGTCACATTCGCACAGGTTTATTTCAAAACTGTTTATTCCAAAAAAATCATTGGTTTATTGATTGCCGTTTCATACTTTAATATATATATTTATAAACGTAGCTAATGTATTTCATTAAATTAAAAGATAAATAAAAAAATTAAGTAAGTAAGATCGAGCGCTTATTAAATTAATAATGTAATATATTAAAAATGTTATAGAAGTTCACCTAAACCACGTATGATGGTGTGTGGTTCCCCGTCGTCACAAAGTCAAACACCGAGTATGGTTATTGCTCCTGCGCCAACAACAGGCACTGATCCAGATCCTGAATTGCATACATTTAGAGAAGCATTATCAGGTACGTTATCTCATTCTTAATTTAACTATTTCAAGATTTTACAAAAATTTTACATCAGGTATTGCAATAGTAATGTATCTGCTTAATTTTATTTATTACATTTATGTTGTAACGCACATCTCGATTTAAGACAAATCATGTTTGATTGAATGGGTGCTTTCCATTAAGTGACACAAGTATTATTTTGTCCCTGTTAATCATTGAAAGCCAAGAAAGATAGAACGATATTTGTGTCGACTTGTGCCACTAAATGGAAAGCACCCAATGTAGAATCATGCGACGAAAAACACAGATTTACGCGGAATGATATATACTTGTATTGAAAAAAATTTTAAACTTTCTCAGGTTCTCCGGTTTCTCGGCGTGGCGGAAGGCAAGCCGAACTGTCGGCCTTTATTAGCAACGAATTGGCTCGGCATCATAAACGGCCTGCTTCACATGACGTAGATATGGGATCACCGACGCACAAACGTATGCGTACTACACTGTAACGGCGCGCGACGCGTACGATAGCTTTACTCCCTCGTTAATTAATCGACCTGATTAATGACTAATAGCTCAGCTCCCCTACATAACTCTCGGTTATGTGTAATCATTTGAGAGAAACGGTAGTGGTTCACACTGCCAAATAAGCACGTTCGTATGTCTCTGATAACTTTTATTGCCGATCTCAATTTGATTTCATATGATGTTCAAAATTATTTAATCTCGGAATGGTATGTAGAGAATGCTGATGCATAAAATTTAAAATGCTTTTAGTGCCGCACATATATATTTATAGAATATTTTATATATTGGCAAAAGAATATTTTATCCTCATTATAAAGCTTTCGTTTCTTCTTGCGATTTCATGAAAATTTCGTGAAATCTTATATCACAGAAATGTATATATGTATATGTACGTATTTTTTGTTTAACGATGTAAAATTATGTAAATGAGAGCACACGAACGTGTCTTACAACTACTGTTTAAAGTGCCCACACTCACACACACAATGATCGATCTGACTTTATGCACAAAAATTTGTGATATGAGACTGTCATTTTGTCGATCTGTAAATCAATTTACAAAGAAATTTTTTTTAGCTGGATATGTGACATTACCGAAAATGTTAAATTTTAAAATGTCGCAATACATATATCGATATATGTATCCAAATTTGTAATTGATAAAAATGTTCTATTAACTCTGTCAATCAATATTGTTTCTTGTAGAAAATTTCGAAATTTTTAATAGATAAAGCAAAGAATATTTTTGTGTTATCTAAAAATTGATAATTCATACATAATAGAATAGAAAGAAGATATAAATATAAGATATTTGTTTTCATATTAAATTAAAATTAATATTAGATTACTTCACAATATATCGCGATTGTTTATGATTAAACTTTTTCGAACGCTTTTCAATCAATAAAATGATTGTTTCATATTGCTTTGTTGATGAGCCAGATACGACGAGAAAAATGAGAAACGGTATAAAATGATAATAATGAGATAATAAAATCTTTAAATTTTTTCTACATTAAGTTTGTCAATTATCAAAATTAATTCACTAGATTCTTGTTGAAGTGTCTCTATATGTATAATAAACTTAAGTTTATTATCTTGTGTAATATATATAATTTTTTCGTTTATATGATTCATTGTTTATACGTTCTTTTCTACCTGTATCTATTATATTTCATCATTTACATTGTTATCAAACGGATTATCGTTCAAATTGTTCATTTTATCAATCGGATTCTTGTGTTATTGAAGCAACTTATAAAGTTTAAATTAAGATTATAATGACAAAATCTCTCAAAAAAAAAGTAGAGTATTAAAATATCTCATTTCTCAGCTACAAAAAGCGCTAGTTATTGAATTATATTTGATAATAATATTATGAAGTTACAGGGGCATCAAAAATATATTTCTTAGAAAGATCTCATTATAGGTCTTTACCATGGTAAACCAAACTTTTAGTATAAGAATTTTCATTGTGTGGGAAGCAAGATGAAGAACAAGGTAAAAGGCAGGTATATGTATCTGGTCTGTTATGAGAATTCAATATCAATACGCTGAGGAAAGCAAAGCGATGCGGTAGTAAATAAATTTAGTTTATCTTTTGTTGATGCTGGTAGGCTAATAAGAAAAGATAGATCAATAAGAAAGATACCAAGTTTTACATCCCGAACAAGATCTACGTTAAATTAATATTCTACAATGAAAAATGGATCCAGTGTTCCATCGCTCACACAGGAGCGTAATGTGTTCTATGTAGAACTTACGTAAACGTAGACTTTGTCAGATGTGATAATGGTTGCAATATGTGTATATATGTGTACATATATGTACTGATATATACATATATATGACGATGTATCTTTTGTAAAAAAGGCGCTTGACGATTGCGTTTAACGAGTCGTGTCAGAGAGTGAAAGCCCCTCTCCCTCTCAATGGAGATGATATTGTAAATGTGCATTATTTTTAATTATGTTTCACATTACTTCTATTTAAATTTTCGAAAGGATTAAAAATGTCATGGATAAATTGGCAGATTAATATTTATCAATCAAATTTATTACTTTTTTCTCATAAATATACGAGCCATTAATTCATCTGCAAATCGTTTTTTGAAAATCACATAAAAGTCAATGTATATTTTTATTCATTTCTTTGCAAGATGTTCGAGCGTCATTTATGAGAGGAGTAAAAATTGTTGTTCAGTTGTAAATATAGCGTACGCTAATAACGATAAACAATAAACATAGATATATGGCTAATATTATCATTACTAGTATCAACTACTATGCGATAGCTTTAACAATATTTATCAATGATACCGTGCGATCGGCAGTTTCATAGAATTACGAGGACCTTGTTCTCGACTCACGCACTTCCTTGGACGAGATCGGCGAAGCAGGGTCCGAGAAGTCTCGCGCTGGTGAGAACATAACAATCGTGGAGAAGAATTTATTTTTCGCGAGCGAACCATTTACATGTCTATTGTATATGCGGATTAAACGATCACGGAAGAAAGGTGTTGTTTTCACGATGTAAAAAAAAAATCGATCGACAAATTTGTACGTTCGCATCGTTTTTAAACACGTCTCTTCCTTCGCTCGTTTCAGCCGTCGGAAGTATCTCCTGTGTAAATGTCATTCTTTTCGTAACTATGATATAGAAGAAAGTAATACATTACTTAGGTATTATCGTATGCGAAGATGCCATACTTAGGTACACTTTATCCATAAGCGAGCGCACCAAACTCGACGACGTGACAACTCGTCGGGGCAACTTTACGAAACACCGATCTGTTTTCGTTTCCGTTTCATGTGTTCGTGGTACGTCTTCTGACTGCATAATCGAAACGTCCATCCTTGATCATTAATGTTTAGTATCTATTTAAGAGAGACATCGTCAAGAATTTCTCTCGAGTCGTGCTTACCCAATGGACTTATCACAGAGAGTTACACTCTCTTATTTACATCTTCTCATTCTCTTTACTTCCGAGAGTTGCTCTCAAATAGACAGATCAGTGGCAATTGTGTGCTTCCCTTTTTTTTTTTTTTTTTCATTAGCAAGTAAGCAATTTGAGTACGCGGTTTCGCCGGTATAATTGGCATTTTTTTATCTTGCGCAATAGCGCGCACGAGATGACGCTTGGAGGTCGGCGAAAAAATTTTCCCACACGCGAGGAAGCTTTCCCTTTCTCATGGAAGAACTATCTCGTCGGAAATCTGTGGGCTATTATATGATTATATATAGATATAACGTACATCGAGCAAATATGAAATTAAAATGATTTTGTTGATTAAGATACGATTAAGTTTAAATGATGTGTTACGTAATTTTTAATTTATATTGAAAATTTAATGTATATTTAATTCCAAACTTAATAATTTCTTTCATGTGAAATTTGAAAGAAGGAATTCTTTTTGACTTTTTAATATAAAAGATACTTTTAATGTTAAAATGCGATATGAATTGTGTGAAATATTATTTTATGTTTATGAAATATAATGATATGTTTATATGAAAATGTATAAATGCATGTATAATGCGATGATGAATAGGCGCCTAACAAGCATTTAAATAAAAAAAACAATACATATTTGAGAATATAATGAAATCAATACGATACAAGGACCGGTGTAATAGTGTATTCATAAGCTAAAAGACGGAGGTGAAGAGAGTCAGGAGGGATCACTTGTATATTATATCGTTCACAATTATATTATACTTCGTACGTTCGTGATGCGCAGGAACGTATAAACGCGTACGTCTAACGAACGCGAGGCACCAAAAAATTTTTTACAAAACGTATCTTCTTCTTTCCTTTCTTTATTATTCCGATGCACACTGCTGCAAGTTGCATTGGTGCACTTTCGCGAGAACTGGTGTACCGTGACATGAGACTTGCACGAACATGACGCCTTGGTCGAGCACGAAGCGTTCATGGCAAGGCGTGAAATGGTGCTGTTACTTTCTTGCGAACATAAGAAGCTTGTATATTTTTGCGCCTCTTGTTTGTAAGATAATCATTTACAAATAAATCACGAGAAAAAGAAACTCGCTGTGGCGTTTTTCCGCCCACGCTTGCAATTTCCTCCGGCTCTGCGAATATAGAAATCGTCGTCTATGTATATATAATTTATTGCCATACAATTATTTTGTACATTTTGTGCTATTTATGAGTATAATATGTGCTATACACGATGTTACAAATTAATGTATAAAACATTCGCTGTAATCCACAATTATCCATAACGTATAATCTATAATTACCAGAGTTCGCGTGCAGATGTATAATATATAAATGATGTATAAATATATAAATAATAAAAATCTAACATCGTCACACACGAGTGAACTATCACTCATTAAATCATTGGATCCTAAAAGATAATCAATATCAATTATTATTACATAGCAGCGGAGTCTAATAATTACGCATGATACATGAATGATGGAAATTGCGAATCTTGGTTATTATGCAAATTCGTGAATAATTATTCAAAATATTTACATTTTGATATTTAATTTATTTCATGAACAGTCTAATATAATTAATGTTGTTGGACATAAAATATATGATATATATATTTTTCATATAATGTTTGTAACAATTTTGAAATATCGTGTATAGTACAATGGTACATGTAGATCTAATTAGAGTAACAAATTAAGTTGATGTTGAATGGAGCAACATCAATGGTACAGTTTATGGCAGTATTGAATTGAATTTTTGTTTCTTTATGGCATGAACTATCTATTCTATCTTACGTATTAGTGCCATCTCTCTCTTTCCTTATTTCTTTTTAATTTTACAACATAACTTTTTCGCATAATCATATAATTTTGATTACGTCATTAACCAATGAGATCAATTAAATATATATATATTTTATAATTGTAAATAGAAAATATATTGATAATAGATTATAGAACTATGAGGCACAAGGAAGTTCGATTATTAAGGATTTCTTGATGTCGAATAATTTAATAATAATTTTAATAATTTCGTTTCTTTTTAAAATTTTCAATGATTACTTTTTTGCACGATTTTGATAAATATTTCAATTTTATGTTCCATATTTAAAATAATTATTTTTATTCTTTTGCAGTTATTCGTATTTATGGATGGATGGATGGAAAATTTTGTTTAACAGCAACATATATTCTCTGTAACTAGCACAATATTCTTTTCACAATCTACTGTCCTTGATGATACTCTCCGGCGTATTCAGCGCTTTTTTCCGGTTTGCGATTGCATTAGTGAGTTTTCGTCTGGGACCAAGCGGAAGCTTGAGGGCCGCTATATCGGTTTCAGTGAGCAGCATTAGAGCTTCCAGATCGATTTGTTCAGATTCCAGGATGGGATGTATAGACGTGAGATTATTGGCGACCAAAAATCTCTGTAAAGGTGTCCACTCTTCATCCGTCTCTTCACCTTCTGTTCACAGGTAAATTCGATAATATTAATATTTATTACATTTATTTTATACGGTAATGTAAGAAAACGGAAAATGATTGAATTATTTTTTCTTCTTATCGTATAAGATACATCGCCGTGTTTTATATTGCAAAGTCTCGTGTAAGTATTACAATCATATGATATATTGTGAGTTCGTTGAACTTACCTGAAAGAAGATCCTCGTCCCACAAACTTTGCCTGCGTGCCAAACTACCGGCACTTCCTATACTAATTTCCTCGTTGTGTCCGTTTGGACTGAACTTATTACTGTTTATAGATCCGTTTGTAGAACCATTCGCAGAAAAATTACTGTTTTGCAGTTGAACGTCCGTCTGCGTGACCGGTAGATTGTCCAGCGTAGATGTTATCTATAAAAATTACGTATTAACTTACACAATAGTGAATACAGAAGAAATTAATTAGTTCATCTATTGCACTTCTATTGCAATCTATTCGCACTTTGTTGCATAATTATGCAGTTAGCACATCCGATGAATATCTATTACGTGTTTCTACGGTATAATCGTTTAAAGGATCGTTAGCGTTTCTGCAACGATTCCCACTATTCATCTCTTTGTTTTTCTTGACTCATGATTCAAATCAAGCGATAGTTCATCTCGTTGTGAAAGAAAACGCACCAATGTAACGTTGAAACGTACCGATTTCTACAAGTCGAGTAGTTATTACGAAGGTAGTCATGCAAAACAGTTACATTTGCAAGATGAAGATTACATGGTGTGTAAAAAACATGATATTCAAACGATTTAAAAAAATAAAAAACCTGAATTTTTATAACTTTTTATAACTTGAGATTTCTAAAGAAAACGAAATATATATATACAGCTGAAAATATAAACAGCAGAATAGTTTGTTATTTTAGCTTTTTAATGTTTTTTAACCTTATACTGATTTTATTTTATGCAAACGATTTATCGATTACTCGCGATAAGGATTATCTAAGATATAAATATTATACTAACCGCCCTTCGAAAAGCCACCGAACCGAAACCAGGTCGGTTAAAGATGCTGGCTGGTTCTTGAAGAAAAGCAGTGTCCTTCGCAACGTTCAAGTTCTCTTCCTCTCTGTCCTCCTCCTCTTCATCGTATATCCTTTCACCTAAGAGATCGGGTGTGCTTTGCGATTTACTCAGAGTGCCCCATACATCAGAGATCTTTCCTCTTCTGATGCCTATATGCTGAGGCTGAGTATCATACGTGCCTACGTACATAATTTCAGAATCTCGTCGAACGCCGGTGAGACTTCGAACTGACTTCTTTCCATTTACTTCAACCTGTAATAATAATTATGCAATGTAATTTATTATATTAAATAAATGATTATTTGAAATAAATTATAATTCTAAATTTTTGATTTTTATCTGATAAAATAGAACGTTCTAATTTTAAAAGTTATTTTTAAATCAGGTTTTTGAAATTCTCATTCTGAGTGAAAAATTCAAAACTCTTCTTTTATATTTAATATCTTTGTTTTACCTCCACGACTTTGAAATCGTTGACAGCTTTCTTAGCTAAAGCTTTTCGACAAACTGTACTGCCGTGTCTCTTTGTAGTGGTACCAACGATGTCGCTGAATGTCGGAGAAGGTTTCATTCGGCCTCTAAAGGTCAGTATCCCGGGCCGTTGAGAGTTCAATTCATTCATCGTATCGAAGTCTGATTTAGCACGATCTTTTATGAGTTTCTTCTGTTCCTTTTCTGCCCTAATTTCTGCCATTTTCTGTTTCTTCATATATTCCTTCAGTCTTAACAGAAAAATATTTTTGTAATTAATACAAAAATCTTAATATACATATATATTCAAAGTGAAAAATAAATTGTTAAAAAAATCATATACAAACACAACATAATACAGTAAGATAATTGCAAAAAAAAAGATTATAATAGCAACACAGGTTATTAATGCTGCATCATAGAAACACACATTTAGTCGAACGGCGAATGGTAGTGATATTATTCCCTCTCACTCTCTCTTTTCAAGTAGGAGGCGCAAAAACAATTCACATTCCACAACTATACCTCTTCTCCGCATCTCTCTCCGCCTTTTCCCGGAGTAACCGGCTTTTCTTGCGATTATTCAATTCCTGATCGGCCTGAGCGACGTCCAGGAACTGCAGGATCCTCTCGCAGCCGTTTATTGCCGCTAATTCACGGGCGGAATGACGGTCGATGTCCAATGACCAGATATTGCAACCGAATTTTACCAGGAATTTCACACAGAATTCATGGCCTCTCGCCGCTGCCAGGTGCAAACAAGTATTACCGAAATAATCGGTCTTATCTGGATCACCTCTGCAATAAACCGATCATGTTACGTCGAGAGAAACAGAACAGATTTTTCAGATTTTACAGAGAGAAAAAATACGGAATTTGTAATAAAACTCGCACAAAAAATATATACTAAATAAATATTGCGTATATAAAAATAATAAAATATTTAATTAAAAATATATTTTTTCTTCGAGAAAAGATTTTCTCTTTAGATTTTCTCTTTGTGATATTTGTAGATACTTTTGTATTTTATTAAAAGTAAATAAATATATTTAAACGTAAAATATGCAGGCTTTTTTATATAAAGAGAATACTTTTCGCGCAAATTTAGAGAAGATTTTTGTCAACTTTTGAATCGAAAATTAATTTTTAGATTCATATAACGATATACATAAACATTTATTTTTGCATTAATTTTACGGAAAAATTTTAGAATTTAATGTCTATGATTTTTTTAAAAGTTAATCGATTGTTTCTGTCATATTGTATAAATAAGAAAAAAGATAGATAAAATATCTAAATAAAAAAGACATCGAGAGATGTCGATATTCAATTTAAATTGTAACATAAATAAATGATATTTTGTACGAGAGGATTTTTGGATATGTGGAGTTTGTTTGTCGGCCTGCCGTTTTATCAAGTATGCGTCCTATTGTTTTTCATTCACTCGACCGCGGTTTCCGCAACTGTGTAGTCGATGGACACCTGTAATGCGTGCTTCCGGTTCCGTGCATGGTATTATCACGATATACAATAGCAGAACTAAGGGCTCGATGGCGGAACCTTCGGGAATGGGCCAATTCAAATCGACGTCTCGTCGTTTTGTTGACTTCCAAGGGATCGATATGCGATTACTTTTGACATTTTATTCAAAAAGATCTATGAATATCCAACAACCGAGTGTTCACGGTGAACGACCGGAAGCGTCGAGGGACTCTTCAGCATTTTGGAGCGGCTTACAGTTGAGGTAAGTATTAATTATGAAGTACTAGTGGGGCTGTCGTGCTCACGAGGCACGACGACCTCGTGCCTGATGGGTACCAATGTCTCGTGTGAGTGGATAAAACATGAAGCTACAGTTTTCATCGAACGTGTTTCATTTCTGCATCCATTTCCGATGTAGTTCTACGTCGATCATAAATATACGTGCGATTTATTATTAATTTCCATTTATTATGAGGTATTAACGTACATATTCGTACATATCTACAACAAGTAACAATAATCAAACACATAGTCAGGCAAGAATATTGATAGAAAAATATCTTGTACCAGCGATCGTATGCCATTGTAAAATATTATACATGGCGTGTACTATACTTGGTCATTGCAAAAAGAGAAGGATAAAATTAGGCATGCACATACCCTCTGGCGACCAGCAGTCTCAGAGCATCTACGTGGCCTTCGAAGGCTGCCCATAATGTCGGGGTCATTCCTCCTTCATCTCGCGCGTTACAATCCTTTCTCGTTGCTTCCTTTAGAACATCCAGCATACCTTCCCGCGCGGCCCTTTGACAAAGAGATGCTTGCATTACTTTATTCTTCTACGTTATCAATTAGGCTTTGCATCATTAAAAATCAAATATTTAATAAAAAGATTACATTAATCAGGAAATAAAATTATAATCTGTTCGTTTGTTAAAAAAAACTCCTACATACCCTCATCAATTCAAATTGTTATCATTATAATATAAATAAAAAGAATATGTAGGAAATATAAAAGGATGTATCGATTCTCCGAATTTTTTTTATCTGAGTATTAATTTGTAACGTGATACAATAAATTCATTGCATTGTATTGCTTTTCTCTCTGTTATAACGAAAGTACATTTTTACTTCTTCGAAGTACGGTATTGTGAAAATTATGCTTGTTATTTTATCGTGTCATGTATCATGATGTCTATCTGGTTTTAATCAGGTTGTTTTTTTAATTAATCGCGGCTCTTCGAGGAAAAATTGCGACCCTCAGCACGAGCAGGTAGCTTTGGAAAGAATATTCACCTTAACATCTTATAATCTTCATGGCATCTCTCGCTCGCGATTTTAATTAATGAATTAAATAGCTAAAGTACTCGCGCGATGCAAGCGATTCGCGTTTTCCCTCCTTTTAATTAGGGAAATTAGGATATTAAGGAAAATGCGCGTGATTTGTGAGGCGAGACAACTGGCACTTTCAATTCGCCGATGTTGCATTCTACGAATCACTTTCAGCACATATCATTTCTCGGTACTTCATCAATGTCATCACGTCATAACATTAGTAATCTCCTCTTGTAATCAATCTTAAAGTGTAAGTAAGTTTAACACATATATATTAAAAATTATTCAAAAATTAAATTGCATTATAAAGTTAGTTTAAATGCATTTAAATCCTAAATTATTTTCGAAATTAAATTTTAAACGTCGCTTCTCAAATAAAATTGAATTTAACTTTTGCAATTTATTCTCATTAATCCATATAGGTGAGACTTGATTAATTTATAAAATGTATAAAGTTAATTTATAAAATTATAAAATTTTTCGAGAGTGAATTCCAAAAGCAATGTAGTAATAAAATCATTTTTCTTTATTCGATTCAAAGCGAATTTAAAACTACATATTTCTCAGACTTAAATATTTCTTTCAAATTAATTATTGAAAATTCGAATCTGAGGAGACGCGACTGTGTGAATTGAAAGTTTCTGTAGGAAAGTATCTCACAATTCTATAGAGAGATAACAAAGAACCAAATTTACATATATTAAAAAATTAACATCGATCGCTAGTATACAGCGTTCTCCATCACAAAAGTTCTCCATCGAAAAAAGTTGACAGAAAGTTTTTATAAGCTCAAACTTTTTACAAGTAATTCGATAAACTTCCGTAGTGAATGAAATAAGAGCATAGGCCTCCTCAGTAGAGTGCATAAATTCCGCACGCGCTCTGCTGATCCGCATAATACTATAATGAAATAATCCATAATCATAGTTATTCTGTGCTCACAGACAATTAAGCGAGATCTCTTAATCTTTTCATTTAACATGCACATGTATCAGTAGTATCTTTTTTTATCTATCTAATGATATTAATAATCATTGATAAAATCGATATTTTATTAATTATTGTGCTTAACGTGCTTTCATTTATTTTCTAACAGCTCATTGCACTTTAACATAAGGGATTAGGTTCGGCTCATATCTTTTCATTTCGTTTTACTTGTTCGATAAACGTCGGTCCTCAATGAGACGAAACGATTGCTATTAATTCTGATTCTAATTAATTTATCGTTTAATTATCGAATCGTACATTGCCGAAAAATCTATCGGAGGAGAGTTACGTGATGCTGAAATAAAATTTTAATTCCTATGACAAAATTAATAAAGTAAAGTATGAATTTTGAATTAAGATTTAAATATTACATTGCTTAATTTGCCAAAAAAATCAGAGATTTTTAATTTTTGTAAATCAGGGGAGAAAACCTCGCGCATATTCGAAAAAAGCCGTGACCGATCCGTTTTATCAATACTATATTTGCGTAGTCCTGTAAAGTGCGTATTTAGCCACTCTTTGCCACGCTATCGAATCGCTTCGGCGCGATCGGCCGCGTCGTCTCGACTCGGGGATATTTTTTCTCCAATTCCAAGGCGAGTAAGTACCTCGCCCCACGACATTTCTCCGCTTTCCGGGCTCCAGGACAAGTTGTATGCGTGTACGAAAAACAAAAGCGACGGAAGAAGAGGCTTGGAAGAAAGAAAGAGCGATGAGGAGAAAAAACACTCGTGATATCCCCTCGAAAAGATAGAGAGAGAAAGAAGGAAACGACAGTACTCACTTATGAAATCGCTCGGACATTTCGCCCGTCGTTTGCTGGTGCATGCGGATTCGATTATCCGAACGGCATCGTTCGCCGCGATTCCAGGAGAAGATTCGAACGAGGATTCGGCGCGGAAGAGAAGCGCGGAGAGGAATCGGCGCGACGACCCGACGTTAAAGGCACTGCGTCCGGCGGTGAACTGCTCGAACAGCGAGTTACACCTGGGGGTCTGGGGGCCTGGGGAGCCCCCCGGTACGCGGTCCCCCGCTTGCATCCCCGTTCGCCATCCGCCGGCTGTCGTGCTTCGCTCCGCCGATTCGATAACTTCACCTCTCGCTTGCGATTTGCCGCCACCTGCGATCGTTCGTGGCGCTGCGTTCACCATTCGGTGGTATATACGCGATGGTGTAGAGTTGAGTGAGCGTTGGACATATGACAGTTCCATCAAGTGCGCTTCGCCCGATCGTAGCATATTTGGATTTTCGATAAATTTTCAGATTGATTACGTTACGATTGAAATAGCAATTGCTACGGTAATTAAACGTAAGCGTAATTACATTTTTATTAAAATATTTTAATTAATAATCTATTTAAGAAACTAAAAAAGAATTTCAAAGCGTGATTATATCTTGAAATATTGATTGTTTCGGGTATGTTTTAGGATTGTACTTATATATCATACATTAAAGTATTGGTAAAAATTAAAATATATTCTTAATTTCAATATTTGCAGATTTATATAATAGACAACAGGAGAAAAAAGAAAAAAAGAAGAGTAAAATAAACTATGCTAAAAAGTTAAGCTAAAAAGAACAGGCTTCATATCAATTGCAATTTTGTTGCTGCACATCGTCTGCGGGTGAATAACATATCATCTTAAGTTTTTATATTGATTTAGTGCTGACAGTTATTTTTTTTTAGCATCTAAAATTTCAAGATTCGCATAAATTATATAATCGTTGCAATTAGTTTTTACAATACTACAGACTACAGACGCACACTTAAAAAGATAAATAGCGCGCGCGTTATTTATCTTTTTAAATAGAAGGAGCAAAAATTATAAATAAGGCGAGTTTTTTCATTTATTGCGATTAATAAATCGCATTATGCGCGAATGCAACTTTGTTCTATAAAAGCAACATTTGCACACTATGCGATTAATTAAATCAATCGATAAATCACCGATCAATTGATAAATTAAAAAAAACTCATCTAAATTGTTACCCTATTAAGAAGATATTGACAATATCGACATAGATCTATTCGAGCTATCCGATGGATGGCGCACGCATACGTTTTGACGGCATGCTTCAAAGTGCTTATACTACACGTGTTTTCATACTTTTTTTGGGGAGGTAAAAAAGATGTGAACATGCAAGCAAAAAACGCGCGGCACTTTTTTATGACTTTTTTTATGAGACGCACCTGCGGATCTTTAAAAGGCTATAACTTCTCGAAAAATAGACGTAGAGACATGGGACAAAGACGAATCTTCTTTATTTCGCGTTCCGCAAATGTTTATGTTAAATAAATATATTCTTATCATGAGATATGTCATATGTATATACCGAGTTTCCGAATATGTCGGAATAAAATATTAAATATCTCGTGAAATATTGATTTTTTGATATTTGTATTTCGATATTTTTGTATCTGAAATAAATAGAGGAATCATACTGAGTAATAAAAAATGTATAATTCCATTAAAAAAAATGTCTATCAAAAAAATTTCGACAGTATCTGCAAATAAATCAATATCAATCATGTGACTTCCTCGAAACTCTACAACTTTAATATGAAACATTTTTTTTTAATATATTGTTCAAGAAATATTAAAATACTATTATTTAAAATAGAATATCTTGCACATATATCTATAGTGGAAAATAAGAACCAAATCTGTAATAAATTATAATATAAAGAAAAATTATTAATAAAAAAAATATTAAAATCTATAGAAGAGAAGCAATAGAAATTGCAATAGAAATACAATAGAAATCTATATAGCAAAGAAATATAAGTATGTATAAGAAATGTACTAATATAAGAAGGGATGTCACTTATATAATTATAATATTATATAACTTATTTATATATTTTACAAGTAAGTATATTACATGCATAATTGATTTTATTTGCTTGATTTATAATATTAAAATCTAAGATAAAAATTCACTCTTTTTGTCTCTTAATATATTCACATTATATTAATAAAATTTTCCTTGGAATATGAGAATTTGCATCAGTTATCACTTACAAATTTATAATTCATTTTAATATAATCGAAACGATACAGAATAATAATTTCATAATAATTATGAGTAATTATTTTCTTAATGATAATCTAATCTAAATATTTCTAACATTGTTTCAAAATTCTAGCCAATTTAAATGTAATTTACACACTATTTTGTAATACATACATATGTATAGCGACTGCTACTAATCGTTTATTATAAAACAAACAAAATACATAAGCTATATCTATATATTTATCTTAGATAAATCGTAATGAATTTACTGTAAATGCAATAGCAAATGTATAATAATTCGCAAGATCATTCGAAAGTTAAAATAACTTAATTATTTAACAGTTATGAAAAGACGCTGTAGCACCTCATATAGTACGTTAAATATTATATGTGATATTTGTAATATTTTCATTGTTGAAAATTTCATCGGAATCAGACTGTTGGTAGCGCAGCCTTGAAAATTGTTTACGCGCCGCGATAGCGCGCTTCATTGTGTACGTATGGCAATCACGTGTTTACGAGCGCTCTACGCGCTACCATTCACACAATAGCTTTCGTACGGGCAGGTAGTGGTACACGTCGCTCCGTATTTCTTCACATTTCTTAAATGCTAAATGATACTAAATATTGCTATATATGACATACCATACGTTACCATACATTACCTTACCAATAGGTTACGTATGGTAATGTTCGGTTACGATTTTAATGAAAAAAATTTTCAATGAAAATACAAATATTACAAATAACATTTAACGTATACGAGGTGTTAACATATACGAGGAATGTCTTTTCATAACTGTTAAATAATGTAATTGTTATATTTTAAATAAGTTCCGAATGATCTTCCGAATATCGTGCGCGCGCGAGCCAACTTGTAGAGACAGATTTTGAACAGAGTGCGCTATCAATTTCTAACGGCAGAAAAGCAACAAATTTTAAACAAGATCTATAATAAATGACGACAAACTACTGTCAGAAATATGACAAAGCTTGCTAACACGCTGTGTCAACAAATTAGTGAAAACTGAACAGAAGCTGATATAATATGATAGCAAACTGATAGCAGAGATTTCCGCTCGATTTCTGCCGCATCTGCTGGCATAGAAATGTTAACAGGTTTTGTTAAGGAGAATGCGATTTCAGATGAAGTCAATTTGTTAACATTTTCTGATCAAATCTGTTGCCAGTCTGTCGACATTCTATTAATATTTTGCTGACTGGGATTTAATGTTCAATTAAAAGATACTATTATAAGATATTATTATAACGTGTAAGTTGGATAATATTTATAACATTGTCGAATTTTCATTGTAATCAAATCGTTGATAGCGTAACCTTGATAGTTTACGTGCCGCGGATAACGCTCTTTGTGTACGGCGAGTAGCGAGTGCTGTGTTTACGAGCGCTCCATGTTATCATTTTTTCACCGGCATTCATACGCATGTAGCAAAGCTCGTAGCTCCGCATTTCTTCGCATTTCTTTGATGCTGAACGATATCAAACGTGCTCTATCTTATGAATGGAATAGTAAATGCTTGTTGACAGGCGTGCTTAATGATTCGTCAACGTATTGAAATAATAACTTTCTAATGAAATATACACATTTTTTGCGTGACTTATTTTTTTAAATTCTATTTTTGTGAACATTAACCTTTCTAAAGGGTCTACGACCTTGACGTAGCAGAGGGGTTCAATATTCCGAGGGATTCCGTTGGCTTTCCAACGAATTCCCAAAGACGAAGAAGCTGACAGTACCCG